CTCTCTCTCTCTCTCTCTCTCTCTCTCTCTCTCTCTCTCTCTCTCTCGATTCATCTGTGTGTGGCATGTGCACAACAATGCTCGATTCTACGCAATAATCATTCATATTATCCAAATAGCCAATTGACAAAAGGCATTGATGTGAACCGATTTGCGCGCTCAACAGTAGAACCCGTGTCCGTGTATCGTTCATTTGTTCGTTGGAACAAAGCACAATTGTGGAAACATTGTTGTTGTGATTGCTATTACCATTCGAGTTGAATCGAAGAGGCACACATCATCTAAACATTATGCTTCTTGTTTTTTTTTCCCTTTGCTTACTTACTTCTTCGTGCGCTTCGGTTTGGGCTCGTTTTTATCTTAGCTCATGTCAATACACGACAAATATGTCGATTTTTCAAGGATTTCACATTTTATGTGCGCGATATATATGGCAATCGGAAAACGTGTGCAATGATGAAGAGCTTTGGCTCTCTCTATCTCTGTCGCGCGCGCGATTGCTGATTAGCGTTGATTACAATGCGATTATTGTGGCCTCACTCTCGACCAGCACTATGTGTTGCGAGAGTTAATTGTTTTGCCGATCGGCCGTCACATCTGACCACAACACCATGTGCGCGCGCGTGAGCGCGACCACTCGTTTGTTCACCGATTACGGCATTACCTTTTGTTAACACAGAAACATTTTTCGCTTTTGAGTCACAAAGTGTTTTGTTGTCTGTGGCCGGACTTACGTAAACGCAGCAGCAGCAACAACAACAAACAACAACAACAACAGCAGCTGCTGCTGCTGCAGCAACGTGCCAACGAACAAACAAATGCGCGATTGTTCGTACGCGCCGCTTCGATAATCTTATTTCTCTTAATCGCAACTACTGACTACTGTATTCTGGTTGATGCCCGAAAAACGCGCTCGCCCATACACTACGGATTTTTACAAGTGACTTCTTTTTGCCGACGTCGTTGTCGTCATCATTATTGTAGCACACAGATATCACGACCGGGACGTAGCAACGACAAGAGATCACTCATCAAATAAATGAGAGAGAAAAAAACACACACAAAAACATTTTGCACATTCGGACGCATTATATGTCAGGTTTTTTTCTTCACTTATCCATCAGAAGGGTCAGTTTGAATAGTTTTGCTGCCGCTATATGTTTTTTGCTTCTCTTCACATACACAATTTTCGTTGCTATCGCCGCTACTGATGCTGCCGTTGTTGCTGTTGTTGTTGTTGCTGCAACTAAATGATGGCTCTTTATTGTTGTTATTATTGAAGATCACAATGGCAATAAAACAAAATTGAGGTTTTAAAGTAGAAGCGAGACTGTAAATAAATATCTGCTAACGAAATAATATTCCAAGCATATTAATTCGATGCCATATCACAACAAAATGCGTCGTCTTCATCTCACATCGCTGAAGTGGTTGTCATCGTTTTGCGCGCTTGGCGTTAAGTAGCAATTATTCAGATCGAAATGTAATTTTTATCCTCATTCTATCTACCTCTCGCTCGCTCTCTCTCTCTCTCTCTCTTTTTCGCTCTGTGTGCGTCTCTATCTATTTCTGTTGTTTAATCTCCGATTACCCGACCACTTTGAATACATTGAAAAAGTTGTACAACAACACACAGGAGTAGCCCGTCTACCCGTTCATTCGACAGTGATAATTATCCATTGAACGGTTGCTTGTTGTCACTTGTCATGGCCGTCTCAAATTAATTATCGAGCGAAAAAATTGTGTGAGAATTGATTGAGAGACAAAAAAAACAAACTACCTGTAGTTTTCAGCGTCGTCGTCCATATAAAATGAATCATCAGGTTTCATATCTAAAAATAGAGGCACGTATCAATCGACATCAAGAAAATCCGTCTGTAGGAAACATGTGGTCGGTTTTTTTTTCTCTCTTTCGAGGAAAATGTTTAATCGTTTTTCGGAAGCGTTAAATGGGATTTGGACACACAGTTCAAACGTTTGATGTGTGTGTACAATATTTGTAGCTATGAAAAAAAAAACGCTGTTGAAAGACTATGCTGTGGCGCACACATGTGTTTAAACGATTACTCGTGATAAATTAGCGAAACGGCTCAATTTACTTCAAAATGTGCCTCATTTCTCATGTTTTATCCCATTCATGTCGTCATCACTCGAAATTGCTGATCGTTAAATCCGCTTAAAATGTGTCAAGTCAAACGCGACATTTTCTTTATACTTCGCTCATCCAATATGTATGTAGAAAATCGATGAAATTGAGGAAACATTACAGATTTTGATGATATTACCAAGAAATTGTTCGTTCGTTGTGTGTGATGACCGACATGAAAAAGCCGGATGTCACCATTGTCAAAGCCCGTTCAAATGGGAACTGAAAAAGGAATTTTGCCACATTTCAATGATGTTATCGTAAATATGTTTCCGACCATTTGAAGTTCGTAAACGGAACTGAAGGGATTTTCTCTCTCACTCTTATCGATAAGAGAGCACAAAGGAGAAGAAAGAAAAAAACAAACTGTTCTTCACTGTATTTATACATGTGTATAATTCATAGAGTGATTTTATATCTTAAATTCAGTGTAACTGTCTCCATTGAGAATTTATAATCGTATAGCAAAACTTAGAATGCGTTTAATTACTAGGCCTGTGTAGTAAATCTGATAAAATATGACGAAATGTCTTTCGATGTAAACCACTATGGGCTTTGTGCTGATAAGCCACCAGAATACGTTGATACCGAAACCATTTATGGCATTGGCCAAGATACATCCGTGACTGGTTTTTTTTACTACCATCTTTTTTTTTCGTTCACGCAGAGAGTTAAGAGAGAAAGAGCGACAAAGAGAGAGAGACAGAGAGAGAGATAGCATGTTTCTATTATTAGACATGTTACTTCACAGACTAAGTATATTTAATTTGTGCTATTATGCAAAATTTAGCATTTAGAAGTAATTTTATTGCAACGAATGCATTCCACATACACATCCAAGATGTGCGCGAGCACGCGCTACCAAACCGAACGATCACTCACGCTCCGCACGCATGCGATTATAAATGATCAGTAAATGATGACGGTTGAATGAAGTCGTAACAAAGAGCTTTTGTTTGTTCTCGATAGTTGCATTTTTCGCACTTAGCTCTCTCTCTCTCTCGCTGTCTCTTTATCTTGGATTAAACTTTGCATCCATAAACTTACTGAGAATCCGTTTTTTTTGCTTTCCTCTGCTGGTATTTCGTTGTAACCACAAATTTCAAACGAATTGGAGAAGGTTTCGTAGCTGAGAGGCGCGCGCGCTCACAATTGGAATTTTTCTCTTCCTCTGGTAGACCCAGGGCATGTTTTCCGTAAAACTAATAGCTGCACGCGACAATAATTCTTTTTATTTCTCTCTCTCTCTCTCTCTCTCTCTCTCTCTCTCTCACACTCTCACTCTTCTTTTCTCTTTAACTATTTATTCAAGATACATTTTCTGTTCTCTCTGCTATAAGTTGCTTCGGTACGTCCGGTGTGTATAGAGATGATGTGTTTGAATCAGTTGCGCTGCGCCTCGCAACATATCAATTACGCTTTGCTCTACGGAAATTCTTCGACTTTGTTTGTGTCTAGCTGCGAGCCAAGTTTCGTTCTGATTTTCGATACATCCCTCCCAACACGGCTCGTCACCGACGTTGTCGTCAATTGTTTTTGTTGTTGTGACATTTTTCGACAACACGTGGCTCGGATAACAAAACACTCTCTCATTTCATATAAATATATTTACTTGCAAAAGAAACAAATTTTTAATTTGTTTCAATTTTCGCTGTCCTATTCATAAATTAACAATACGTCACCTTGATAACTAGTGCACGTGAGTAAATCTATATAGCAATATAGCGCAATGATATTCGATGCTATAAAATAACAAATTGCAATGTAAAAAAAAGCAACAACAACAACAACAACAAGCCAACTCATATTAAGTTATCGACGGCCGAAAGCAACGACGAGTAACATCAATCATCGAGGTTTTCTGTTGACGCCGACGTTGGAAAAGAATAGTATGTGTGTCTGTGTGTTGTGTTCGCCTTCAAATCCAAGACTTTTCATTTTTCTTTATAATCGACATAATAATTACACTTTCAAAGAAATCTTATTGGAACATTTTTCCAATGATAATTGCCATGAAAAATTGGTGTAGATATTTAACGACCAGAGAATAGTGTGTGATATAAATATTGAGCTAGAGTAAAAAAAAAATCCAAAGATGTGTTAGCATTGCAAACAAGTAATCGTTATTTACTCTTCTAATCTTCTCAGTTGGCTTGGCGATGAAATCATAAAATGAAAAAAAATTATAACAAAAAATTGGTTTGCTTAGAAATTTAAAGCTAAATGGCAATATATTCATCATATGTGTTGTGAGTGATTTGACATTTATATTGTTTTCAACAAAATTTGAGTGATTTCCATCGATGGGATTTCCGTTGGGTCATACCAACAAGTATGACGTATTAATTCTGTCAAAAAAATCTAGAAGATCAGAATTTCGTCGAATAAGTCTTACATGAATGCAATCAAGGGACTCATATTCGTAGCTTACATGGAGCAACGAACATATACAACGAATGAAAAGCCTTAGATGTTTAGCTCATTCCATCGAGATGTGTATGTGCATTAGTAATCTCTGATAACAATTATCCATTAAAACATGCCCTGATTTGAATGATGACTCTTCGAAGATGATGCGAAAGAGAATATTAAATAGCAAAATATTGAGAAATGCCATCAATTATATGTTCGTGTGCGTTTTCCATTCGCAATGCGTCGTTCCTACAGTGTGTGTGTGTATGCTGACTGGCTGCCAGTTTATTTTTTCGTACACCATGCGTGTGCACCGCTTGTTGAAAGAGTAATAAATTCCATTCTTAAATGGTCTTCTTCGATTTGCTTTAAATGTTTGTGCATCTGTACCTACCTTTCCTCGCTCCCTCTCTGAATGTGTGTTTTTTTCTTAATTGTACACCTCGTTTTTTGTGTCTTTTCTGTACAATTAAAATATTTAGACGCACGCAGAAGATGAACAAGCTAATGAACCTCGTTCGGGGTCATAAGAACCACCAGCAGCAGCAGCAGCAATATCACACAATTCGTCATCCACTCTAAACTCACAAAGATTAATGTCCGATGCTTTAGATGCTTATCAATTTCAACTTCAACAGATTATGAAAACTTTTACTGCCGGCATTTTTTTTATCGTTCATTCGTATTCGGTTACTCAAAAGAATGAAAAGAAGTAAAAAAAATAAATAAAAAAAAAATACCGTTCTCCAGCCGGTCAAATTTTGTAAAGAAATGTGGAGTAGAAAAGAAGGAAAATGAATTAAACGATGCATACAAAGCTTTCCAATAAATCACGATGAGCATAATTTGAATCACATTTTGACTAAATTGACCGAGAGATTAGTTGTTGTTTTTTTCTTCGTTCGCATGTGTTTTTCTTTGTTGTTTCTTGCTCGCTTTTGACAGACGGCACTAACTGATCGCCCAAGATTAATATACAACACAATAAAACTTGCTTATGTTTCGTGTTATTTATTATCCATTTGGCAAATGAATTCATAAATTAGTTTGCAGTAGCTTTTGTTACTGACACACCATATCAGCCGGTGACTGAGTCTAGCCACTCGACCGATTATTGAACCACTCAGAATTTGATTGTCTACATTTTTTGCATCAAATGAGCTGATCTGGAGGTTTTTGTTAAGCAGCTCACAAATGACCATTTGAACTTTGTCAAAGTACAATCAACTGAGTGCTAATTCATTGGAAGTTAAAGTCTCGCAACGAAATGAACATAATGTAACGATTTAAGAATTTGATTCATCTGTCATCAAGTTGTTTGATGATGAGAAGAAGAGAAACACTTGCATCGCGTCTCTTACAATCAAATTGAGTGTATTAACGATGGAAAAAATGCCACTGACACCAATTTGCTAATTATTAACACGTCAAATCGTCGGAGCTGTAGCTCAACGAAGGACATGAACATTACTAAGAAGAACATTATACTATGGAATCCTCCGTATCGTGACTGGCTAACAACACTCCAGAGGCCAAGTTTTATTTCATTTGTGTGTTACATTTTTGCTCGGTGCATGTGAATTATTCATGTTTGCAAACGTTTTATTAGTTGAAACTTTGGCAAAGAGGACGGAGGCAAGCCGCTGCTGGTTGATAAATTAGATTCGTTTCGAAAGGGTTTCCGACACCGTGCACAGAGAAAGAAACAAGGTCTAACTCTCAGGTGGTTAATTTTGAGTTAAAAGTTTTCGACACTCTCCCTCTCTTTGTCTCTCTTAATACATTTCCACTTCAGTTGACTTTATTATCATTTGTTGTTACGAAATGCAAATATTTCAAACCAAAAAGTTTACATTGTACAATTGCGAAAAATAAACAAGTGTTCCAATTTTTGAATGCATTTGACGGCTGGTTGAAATAAACAACTAAATTTGGCATGTCATTCAGTTTTGTCGCCGATTTGACGAACATTCATTTATCACTCTCTCTCTTTCTCTCGTTAGCTTGATACGATAACAATGTAAATGGTTTCACTTGAAATTTGCCGTGTACTTTATTTGGCATTGTGTGTGTGATATTACTCATGTGTGTAAAATTTCGATCTTAATTAATTCATTCAAATGAATTGATTTTTGTTTATCTGCCGGAGAATGTGCGTTTTCGTCAACCATCTTCGTTTGCACGTGTTCGAAGGGCTTGCGACGAACAAATATATGTGAAATATTTCCAAATATATTCAAATACGTCAAATATTCTGTTCAGAATTGAACAGATTAGATTCAAGCAATCATTGCATTGGGCCTTTTACGCTTGGCCTTTTTTCCTATAAATAGTCGCGACATAGCGAGAAGTATTCAGTATTGATTTGGAAATGTTACCAAGAACATCTGTTTAGAATAAACGTTAAGAAATAACGCTTGAGCATTTTTATTTATTTATTTCACCTTCAAATATTCAACATATTTCAAATATTGAACCATTATTTAATCACAAATCGCATCTTGATATTTCGTATATTTGACATATTTGGCTATATTTCAAATATTTTGCACATTTGAAAATTGAGAGGAATATTTCAAACAGAAATAGCCACAACAATATCGGGTAATACCAAAAAAACGTCAAAAATGTAGCTGAAATATGCCTTGAATATATCAAATATTCCAAATATTTGAAATATGACGGAAAATGACTGAAATATAGAAATATATGAAAATATGGCCGTATTTCAGGCGTCGCAAGCCCTTCGCACGTGTAACACATTTTTCTCTCTCGTTCTATTGGATTTTCTATTAACATGTTATTCGACGATATATGCACTGGAAAATTGACCAATCAACTTTCAAATATATCGAAGAGATTCATGAACGACATGTGTGAAAAATTTGTGACTGACTAGCCAGCCGTCTAATTTCGGAATTTTTGGCTGACTATCAGTAACTAAAAGTGATTATCGCGAACAAAATCGCGACAGGAGAAAGAGAAAACTTCGTGGGAAAATGTCATTGGAATTTATTGCACTGAATAGAAATAGAATTGACGCCAATCAAATGGCAATTTCATAATGAAACGAATTTCAAATTTGTTGATTAATTTTTTTTTTTTTCGTTTAATATAATTTCTACTAAATAATTATCATTATCATTGCATTACGAATAAATCGTTATTCACGCTTGTGTTTTTTCCCCTCTCTCAAACAGACATTCATTGGCGTTGCGACCGAAACGTGTGGAGTGCAACAACAGTGACATTGAAATATTAAGAGATCATTTCATCAAACGTACCGTGATCAATCGACAAAAAAACCACTCACAATTAGCCGTCGGTCCGTGACTGTTTGCCGTGTGAGGTGAGGCGAATAGATAACAATAGCAAAACAAAACACACACAAAACAAATAGAGGAAAAAAATGTGAATCGCCACCAACTACAATAATTTGAATGCGCTAATAAATGCAGATATAATGAGAAAACCTCACAAGTATTCGACGATTTGGATACGCTTGATAGGTGCAGGAAAGTCGAAAGCAATTCACACACGACCAATAAATTTTAAGGTAAATACAATATAATGCAACATTCATCACTCATTAGAATTGCGACGCTAAAAAAAAATTCGTTCCCCGTATTTTGTTTTCAAGTTCAAAACGAAGAAAATTTATGGAAAATAAAATTTCAAGGTAAAACAAAAAATTGTGATAAATTTTAATGATTGATTGTCATAAATTCTAGGTGCCGTCGTTATCATCATCGATAGCATCATTAACTGTGAAAGAGTCTGACAACTGTGTGGCCGTGCTTTGAAAGCAGCTACAGCAAATTACAGTGGTGGAAAATTGAAGGGAAAAATTAAGAATTCCAAACGCACACCAACCACGCGTCGATCAACAACAACAACAATACACGACAATTAGTGAAAATTAAACAAGTTTTTAGATTTAATACAAGAGAGAAAATAAGAAAATGAAAATGTTCGTTGCACCCAATTTCGTTCAGCATAATCGTTTACTTCGATTGGTCATGCTATTGATCATCGTTGGCCTATCAATATTCTTGTACACATCATACTATGCAAATCAAACCGAACGATATAATCCAACGTCACAACGTTTTCAAATGCCATCACTGATATCCGTGTCATCGATGCTGGATTCGGATGGTGGCGGTGGCGGCGGTGGCGGCGGTGGCGTTGACAATACATTCCAGAGCAATGCAATTGACGACAACAGCATTAGTAGCAGTAACAAATTGATTGAGCCATCGGGCGTCGGTCCACAATTAAAACAACAGTTGCTAGGCAACACAAATGATAATTTAAGTAATAGTTTAGCGCATTTTAATGTCAATAATAATGTACAGCAAGCTAATTTGGCAGGTGAGTCAAGTGAAGATATTCACACTGGATTCCACCAGTCCACGAACAAGTGGATGAAACACGCAAACCATTCTGACTAACCGGTTTTTTTTCATTCCTCTGCTCTTTTTTTTCTATGCTATTCAGGTGATGGATCAAATTCATCCGATCTACCATCATCATCGTCATTATCACTTCCAGCGTCTATAGCGGCAGCGGCCATATTTCAACCAAAAAACATTTCTAATAATAATAGTAAGTTAGCCTCGTTTAGTGTGTGACACACGGTGGAAACCAGTTTTGAATTATTTCCATTTATCTTATGCACTTAACTAAATTGTCCGACACAAAATAGGCTCATCGTATGCACCAACGTCAAATGTGATGCCCGTAGGAAAAGTGGCCGAAAGTGTATCCGATCAACAACAACAACAGCAGCAACAACAAAAGCAATCATCAGCATCGGCCATAAATAGCAATAGTCATCAGAATACGAGCGTCAAAACGCCACATCTGGATACGGCAAATGGCGTGCGTACAAGTGATTTGTACGAATCTGGTCATTTTGAAGCAAACAGCGATCTATGCGGTTCCGATGCTGGCGAACACATACGTAACTATTCCACATTTGATTTTAAAAAAAATGTGTAAAATGAACACAGTCCTTTCAAAGGAGAACTCCTTTGGGCCAGAATCGACGGTGAAACTAATCCGCTTCACTTCGTTTCGTTTCGTTTCAGGTTTGTTAATTTTGATAACATCGGCGCCGACGCATCGCGATGCTCGTCTTGCCATCCGCCAAACATGGGGCCATTATGCGTCACGGCGTGACATTGCAATGGCATTTGTGCTCGGTGCAACGAACATTCAATCGATTGAAGATTCGCTGGAAGCCGAATCCTATATGTACAGTGACATTATTCGTGGTCGTTTCATAGATAGCTACAACAATTTAACATTGAAAACCATTTCATCGCTGGAATGGGTCGATACGTACTGCTCACGTGCAGCATATATACTCAAAACCGATGACGATATGTTCATCAATGTACTGCGATTGATGGCATTCATCGATAAACATCGACTGGAAGAACGACAAAAAATCATTTTTGGAAGACTAGCAAAAAGGTAGCGATGTTATTCATGACGAAGAAACTGTTTAAAAATGCATTTGTCAAATGCTATGCAAATTGATTGATTTCAATTCTAATTCCAATATTTTTCTCCCCTTATCTACGCACCAGATGGAAGCCGATTCGTAACAAACGTTCCAAATACTATGTATCGCCGCAACAGTATTTCCCATCTGTATTTCCACAATTCACAACTGGCCCCGCCTATTTGATCAGCGGTTCGGCGATCCATGATTTGTATACAAAAGCCCTAGAACAAACCTATTTAAAATTAGAAGATGTATTCACAACGGGTATCGTTGCACAATTGGTCAATGTGAAACGCATCCATGTCAACGAATTCCTAAATCGTCGCATCGCATTTAATCCATGCAATTTACGGAAAGCGATTAGCATCCACATGGTCAAAGCTAATGAACAATTTGACCTATGGAAAAAACTAATGGACACTAATACAAAGTGTAAATAAATTTTTCAGACTAAGACTTTAGATATTTTCCTGACACTAAAGACTAAACTGAGCAACAAAAAAAAATAGAAGAAGCAGTTGAACAATATAATGTGAATGAAAGAAAAAAAAACTCTTTGGACGCAGTGATTGAATATCTATCGACCAAACCAATTGATTAATTTATGTTAAGATATGATAAACGGAATTTGTCCCTCCCAAAAATGATATATATATATATATACTAGTAAAAAAAGAGCATGTCGCGTCAAAAAAAAAAAAATCAGAGAGATAGACCGACACAAAACACCGAAATATTGGAATTTCAGTTCTAAAATTTAAAGCAAATGAACAATTCCAGGAGGGAATGGATTATATTTTTAACTAAAGCAAAGAAACAATTGCATCAGCGATATGATATTTCTAACTCGAAATTTCACGTCTGTTAAATGACGAGAAAAATGCATGATATTATGGTATTGCCAACACATGCGACGTACATCCAGAATAGAAATACTTCTGAGGAATATTTGAAAAACTGGAAAAGAATTATTTGAAGAGAAAACTGAAAATATTTAAAGAAAAAAAAAATTGGTATTCCGTTAAAAAATCAAGCAAATAACAGTCGTTCGACAATCGAACGCGAGAAAATACACATAGAACATAAAGTGGGACCAAACCGTAAATCACATTCAATTATTTGTATAGCCACGTTTCGGAAGTTGTTGTTTTTTTTTCACTCGTCCAAATTCTCGTTGGACTAGATCACACTCTCTTTTTTTTAAGGAAATGATACACAAACAATGATGACACAACTACTTTGTGTAATTAAAAACTGGCAATAAATTTTTTTTCTTAAAAAAGGCAAAATTACAACTTCTCTTTAGAAAAAAATGACAAATAGAGACAAGTCAGATTCAATGTTAATCATCAAAACACTCATTTTGCACTCAGTTGACATTTATGGAAAAATAGAAAGAGCAACAAGAAAAAGCCGTAAAACACACGACAATAATCAAGAAGCAAAAAAATCAATGACAAAAAACAAAATTTAACAATAGCAATAAAAACAACAACAGCAGTAACAATCTTACCCATTAGTTCAATTTGACCGCCACAAAACACACATAAATCTTAAATATACTCATAAAAACAGTAATAGTTCGCTGAGATTTTTTAGTAAATTTGAAGAAGAAAAAAAAAATGAGAAAAACTCAGACGTCTTAACTCATTGCGCGTATTTCCTTCATTGGAATTGGGTTCAATATGATATATATTATACCGTTTGACCAAGCAAATAGACACTTATTACATTTTATGTAGTGCTAAAAACGAAATAAGAGTGAACCACAGAAGGAACAAATTCAAATAGAATGGCATGAGAATGAATCTCAACACATCATCATTCAAACTTATACACAGGTCAGATCAAAGAGATGAATTTTTCTCATGTAACAAAATATTTTTGTGTGTACATATTTTTACTTGGTTTTGCTGATTGTAGCAATATATTTGTTGAATGTGTTGTGCCATCCTTTTACAAGGTCGACGACATACTACCAATGGAATGAAGAAAACCCATTTTTTTCCGGTTTGGTTTGGTCTGCTCGCATTCATCGAGCGCAAAAGAGAAATTTATTGAAGAAATGAAAACAGAAAAATATGAAGAAATTTAGATTTTAGTACCAATACCAATTGGAAAGTGATCATTGAACGGACAATTGTATTGTTTTCTTTTTTTTTATATTTTCATTGTATATTATTGAACAAGAGAAACAAACAAACAAACAAAAAAAGAGTCACATATTGGATTATTTCTTCTTGGTTTAAATTATTTCCATAGGAAAATGAACGTATTGAAGAAAGAAAATACAGTAAATGATAAACCTAGAGAGAAAGAGAGTAAATGAAGTTGAGAGGAATTGAAAATTCCTCACGGGTAAAAATAAAAATAAAAAGTAGAACGACGAGCGTTGTGTTTGAGCATCCCCGTTGAATCAAGAAGAAAACAAATCATTAATGTAAATTAAAACAAAATGTTATTGAATTACGAATTAAGACCAAATGAAAAGAGAAAAAACAACAAGTTAAACTGAAAAAAAATCCACATGTGTTTTCCTTTTGGTGTAATCAGAAAATCAAAGACGTTTTTTTTGTTCTTTTAGATTAATCTTTTGGCATTCCGTTTTATTTCATAATATTTTCTACATTTTTCATCGTTGAAAACATTTCTTTTTTTCTTCTTAACATTATCTAGAGTTTTTTTTTTAATTTTTATTCTTTTTTTTCTGCTTATTTTGAGTTGTTTTCACAGAGAAGAATTAGAAAACAACAAAAGAATGCCGACGGCATAGAGCAGCCAGTCGATACTCGCGAGTTCCGAACATAGCAGCGAAAATATAACAGAATAATTTTTTTTTTTCATTTATAAAATCAAAAGCTCAGAAATCCATTCGAACTCAAGATGCTTTTTACTCGTCTAAATCGGTTGACCATTGACTAAATTGCGTCTACAATAAGATAACGATTTTTTTTTATACATTCGTCGACAAAGAAACAACATTTGATTTGTTAGAAATTACAATGTCATTTTCTTTTTTGGTGCACTTTCAACCAGCATCGAACGAATGACTTAGTGGTTTATGGGATACATTTCAACGGAATCTTTAAATTAGGCAAGAAAAGGTTATTCTGACTTACAATTGAAAGTTACTGCAATCAATGGTAGCACTATTTATAAATGAATTTTTTGAAGAAAAAAAGTAATTAAAATCAATATTATGATGGTAATGACGTTAAACACTGGTGTTAACATGAGGCCTCGTTTAGTTTATGAGGCGCGTTATCCTTCGTGGGTCTGAGTAAGTATCAATATCAAATAAGTTTTGTCTAAATGATAAAGTTGATTTCGTTTGTTTTTTAATTGTTTTGGTTGATAATGCTAAAACGTTATTCAAAGGTACAATTGAATTGACTAGGTTTTCCGCCCTGTTTAGGGTGATCTACATGTATTACGATATTTAATTTATTTACTGAAAATATGAAAACAAAAAATGAATGAATAGGAAATACAAAAATAAACTTCATTCGACAAGAGAGGTGGAAAAATCGCGATAAAAAAAAAATTGACATAATATTTGTGTATATTTAAATTCAACGGTTTTTCGTGCAGTCCCATAAATAACATGTTAAATAATAAATTTTATCCCAGCCGAATGAATTTTACATTTATCTCTCGTATTTTTGTCCATCTGCTCGATTGACGAGCAAAAAAAATAAAATGCAATAAATTGAAATGTAAATTAAAACGTAATATTTAAAAGAAAGAAGAAAAATGTACTCTCCCATAAATCGCTAAATCATTCGATTCACCAATGGCCCGAGTGCATTTGAGATCGATTTATATAAAGTCTATAATAAAAGTAAATGTTTGCATTGACTGATCAGGATCGAAAAACACTTCGTGTGTGTGTCATTTATGTTGCCGTTGGGTGAATGCATGTTCAATATATTTCATTGCACTCAGATTGTCGCGCTATATAATGCCAAAATGGTCCAAACTAACTAGAGGCTATTTTTTTCAAACATATTCGCCCGTTACACAGACTGAAATACAAATAAACGAACGCACGAACGAAAAAAAAATATTGGATTAAAATTTTAAGTTGGAGTTGCAATTGATTGACACACAATTGTCGATTGGTTGGTTGGTTGGTTGGGGGCAAAAAGTCTGTTTGCAAAATCCATTTTTGTTTGTCCGGAGGGAGTTTGATTGGAGTAAATTTTCATGCAACCATTTTCAACAGGAAACAAAAAAAAAACATCATCATCATCGTTTTATATATTGTTTGTGTGCCTATTAACATCGAGTGTACAATCTGAGTACATGTATAAAAAAGCAGTCTTCTATCGATTAAAATTATGTTATTTTTTCTTCATTTTTTTTTCTCTTCTTGTTCTGAGAGCTGACAACAATAATGAATTTGTTAGGTAAATTATGTGCAAAGAGGTTATGAGATGGGTATTACGTCGATTCAAATGAAGAGAGCAAGAGATAGAAAAAAAACGTGGTAAATATCAAATGAAACTGGTACAAATACAAATACAAATGTTGGACCGTTGTTGAAAGTAAATTTTGACCTTGTGTCATTCGGAAAGCATTAATTTCGATGAAATATAATGCAAAAGTGTTAGAGTTTTCTGTGTGGAAAAAAAATCTCGGCATGCTTCTTGAGACGAAGTACGGTTATTTATTTGTTTATCTTGTGGATGTAACCGCTCCGGAAGTGGGAATATCGTACGTATTGAAGTAGATAAAAGTTCGAACAATAAGGGGCTGGATAAGGAAATCAAGGACCATGGGCTGAACGATTTTGACATTTTTGTTTTTCAGTTTTGTTTAATAGTTTCACTTTGGTTTTTGTTAAAGCACTTTTCTAAATCTATTGAAGCAAAACATAGTTAAAAAGAATTTTTCTTTCTTTGTCTTCTTTGGAACAATCTCTAACAATTAATTTATAATGCTAAACATATATTTCATTTTGTTGTTGTTGTTGTTTAATGGACTTTTGTAAATTTTGTTTATTTCTTTTTTGTTAAACTAGAATTTATTTATATTTGACTTTTTTTTTTGTTTCATAATAATTTTTACTAAATCATTCAGACTCATTGAGAATACATTACGATTAAATGCTAAATTTATGAGTATCTTCCTGTTGTGAGAGAGAGAGAGGGAGTCAATAAATAGGATTATTTCGTGTTTTTTTTGTTTTTGTTTTTAGTTGCACTACACATATATCAATTACCTCTCCTCATTTATCATCTATTTATCTATATAATCTTGTGTTTGTCTTAATAATGGTGGAATTTATTGTGTATTTATATGTATGTGTTTGTTTTTTCTTCTTCTTGTATTTTCATTTATCAATGTTTGGAAGATTCATTTTCTTTCGACTTTATTTCACCTAAATATTTTTTTTTCTTTCATTTCTTTTTCATGTTGTTCTCTCTGTCTTATCAACTAAAATTTTGTTTACGATGATTTTGTATATTTTTTTTGTATTTTGTCATTTGATGAATTGAGATCTTATTCAATAAGGTTGTTCAGAGCATCAGAGATTGTCTAATTAAAAAAAAAAAAATATTTTTATGGATTCGAATAGGACGTATTATCGTATCCATATACGCAGAGAATGTGTGACGGTGTGCACACAATCTCTAGATATTGACATTCATTGAATCGTGTGCAAAATGCTGTTATGTATTTTTGAGCTACAAAATTGCATGTTCAAAAACAAACAAGAATGAAATGTTTCGTTGTATCCGTGTATTTTATGTGTATGTGTCCGTAAGAACGGCAAGGAAACAAGACATGTCGACTTTGATTACGTGCTTTTTCTTTCGCTTTTTTCTCTTCGTCTTTATCCATTTTGACGTTGAAAACGCCAGTCGGTGCGACTAATATAGAATTTTGCTTGGTGTTTGTGTGTGTGTGTGTGTGAATTCAAACGAATGATTCACGAAATGGGTGTTTGCACTGAGCAACGAAAGGAGGAAATACAATTTGAATAAATCCATATTCACATGATTCGACATTATTTGAAAATATAATAAACAGTTTGTTTGATTTTCCGTCCGTTAGTTTTTTTTCTTCTTGCAGCAATCGAGAGGGATTGTAACTGTTTTTTTTTTTCGTTAAAAATTGCCGTTTTCGGACATACGAAAAGAGAAGAAGATCGAAATAAATTCACGTCTGGAATTCAAACCAACGGTAAATCCGGCTTTTGTCCAAGTTGCCAAAGTTTCCCTTTTTTTCCATTCGAAACGAACGAATACAGCTGAAGTAATACGAATTTCATTTAGCTGTGTGTGTGTCGGAAGATGCACGAGCTTGCGACAGCTCTACGTGTCCAACACACACGCATACAATATTCCAAATTAAAATCCATTATAGTTTTCCCATTTTGTACATAAATTTCTGGTTGTCACTTTGTTTTTAATTGCATTCAGCAACAGTATGTCATGTAATTTTTAAATAAAATTAGCACAATGTTCAACTACATTATGGTTGTTGTTTTTTTTTGTTACTATCGTATCTCATATATATTCATATTTATTTGTATTGTATATACAGTGGGAATATTGGCATTTTCATAAACTTGTTGACATTACTTGTAGCCCCAAAAATGAATGAAAATTACAACGTAGTAACAACGGAGGAGATAACAATAACGGATTTTCGTCGAAAATTTTCTATTGTCCGGTATGGGGTAAGCATATTTGCAGAGGATAAAAAAAAATCGGATCGGTCTTTTGGACCGGTGGTGCGTGTATGATGTGGCGAGAATTAGTTTTTGTTAATCGAAATTTTGTTTATTCCTTGGGCAACTTGTATTATTCATTCATTTCGGTTTAAAAGTAATGCAATAGTGTCTTTAGACACACATACACATTTTCGTAATGTGCTTCAAGCTCTAAACGGACACTTGACAATCGATACACTCAATCTCACTCATTTTCTCTCTCTCTCTCTCTCTCTCTCTCTCTCTCTCTCTCTCTCTCTCTCTCTCTCTCTCTCTCTCTCGTTCTCGCAGTAGTTGTGCCATGCCGTTTTCCCAGAAGAAGCAATCATTTGGTATATATTTAACGAGGAAACAAAGGGACAATTCGATTGACCATGGAATTCACGTGTCAATCTAGCTAACTAATTTTTATTGAATTATGTACAAATGGAAGGAAACACACAGAGAGAGTGAGTGAGTTAGAGCGAGCGAGACCATCGTTTCGGGCATTTGGGCATTCGGGTATTGGGCCGCTTCGTCACAGTGACACCAAATCATTTCACAAGGGAAATTTAATACGATGAATAATTAATTTACGGTCTTCAACTATTTGACTTTCACTGGCCCGTTGCCGTTTGCTGCTGCTGCCGCCGTCGATGGTGACCGATTCAGCTCGAAAGGATAATTTGTACCGAAATAAGGGCTTTTGAGCAAAAACAGAAAAATAAGTTGTTCAAGTGCAGACAAGTTGTCAGCGGAGAATATACATAGTTTTTAGCGTGAAAATCATAATTTAATTTATTTTAATAGTTTGATTAAATTAAACCGTAAAATGGATCTGAACAACACAAGCAAAAAGGCCATCGAGCTTGGATACGCTACGACAATGTTTTTGAGCAATTGTATGTGTGTGTTTTCTCCTTCTAGATCTTCTTCTTCTTCTTCATCTTTTATGCAGTACGCATCACATATGACGAGATAAACCTGACATTTTGCAAATGTCTGGTGTTAAATATATTAGGTAACAATCAAATAAACATACATTTTACATTGAAAATAAACAAAGATTAAAACGTAAATACAATTTGTGCTAGTCTCTTCACTTGATTTGTTTTGGCATTTTTTTTTGTCCACTTATATATTCTCTTTAAATTTGATGTGTGCTAAATGTTCTCTTAAAATGAACTAACGACCTTTAGAAGGTCGATTGTGGTAAATGTTTAAATTTTTTTGTTTCACTATACAAGTAATCATCGCTTATAACACGAACATTTTTTTTTGTTGGTATCAATAAATTTAATTTAAATCTTGTTTTTTTTGCATTAATTTTTTTTTTTTTGGTTTTCCTTTAACATTTACTTTTTTAAATATCCAAATAATTTGACGTAAGCAGAGATCAATTGATCAATTGAATTGAAGTGATTTTTTTTTGTTCAATACACACACACACACACGTAGGCAATTCAGAGCGGTTTGCCGATTTGTGACTCTTCTTTTTTTCGGGGAGTATGAGGGTGGGGGAAAGTAACAATTGCTTAATTTTTGTTTTTTCTTTATGATATTTATAGTAATTATTGGCTAATTCTGGATGGGTGACATTCGCTTCCCATTCTGCTTCGCCGAATAACAAGCTGAAACAGAAAACTTTACTTGCTTTATTTGTTAACGTCGGTCTCTATCGCCTCGGGCATTTGGATTTATTAACATAATTTACTATTAGATTATTTATCGGTTTACTCTCGGACAAAGAGATTCTCTCTGTGTGAGGTTCTCTCTATCTGTTGTTGTGCTAATGACACATATTAATCATTTTCATTTGTACAGGAACAAAAATATATAATTTACGGTCTAAGTTACGCGCGAGCGCGCGCGCATGTAATCCGAATCAGAAATAGTGATAATAATAAGCGTTTGCATGTCGCTTGTTATTGAGTTGTTTTTTTTAATTATGTTTAAACCTTTGATTTTTGTGGTAATGTGTTAATATTATTACGAGTGATTTCTTCTCTCACTTTTTCTTTGCTTTGTATCTAACACGCGCACGATTTCGGAACATTCTCACTATTTCCAATTGAATTTCTTTTGATTATCTAGGGTGGCGATTTTGCGTCAAGTTTCTTCTATTTATCAGTCTAAATTTATCTATAATTAAATATACTTTTATCTTTAACATGTGGTGACATTCTTTTGTTTGGTTTTTCTCATTCGTTTATTGTTTATTTTTTCCTTCTCGAGATGGAATGCGAAGGAGGATGGGGATATGGTGGTGGTATGAGGGAGCGGGGGAGAGGAAGAGGGATGAGTAGAAGAGAAAAACACTATCACGTCGAATACAAATGTCAGCGAATCGAATCGATTCAATATGTTATAGACAAAACAAAAATTCAACTAGATCATGCACATATAGATAAGCTCACAATACGCTCCGAATATATCTCGAGTGTGCGTGTGTGTTGAGTAGGTGGGTTTTGTGTGGTGGCTCTTCAATTCTGTTTTCTTTCAATCTGCGTGTGTGTCTATCTCTCTCTTACACTCACGATTACGATTACGATAATGCCATTTTTCGTCTTAAACATTTTTGAATTTGTGTATTTTTTGTGCGAGATGGGCAGCTTGCTCTCTATCTCTCTGATATGTTTTCAAAATAGAATTTACGACTGTGTTTTGTTTTTCTTCGCTTATTTCTCTTCTTTTCTTCTTATTCGCTCTCGTCTTTGTTTTTAATTCGGTCTGAGAGACATCGATAAATGTCCTATTTTTATTAGAGTAGCCTGTAATTGCTTTGATGTGTGTGTGTATATGTGTGTGCTAGGGGGGCACATGAGGCCATGCGAAAAACATGTGGATGTGTTTGTCTTTCTCAATAATAACATTTTCAAAATGGCCTCAAATCACAAAAACACTCCATCCAGTAATTTTATGTGTGCGATTAACAGAGCTTTTAATTGTTGCGCTTCTGATTTTTGTTTTGTTCGAATAGTCTCGTACTTCTTTTTTATTCCTCTGTTTCTCTTATCTATTTATATAAATTTATTTATTTCAATTTTCTTCGTATTTTCCTTCTTTTTTCGAAGTTTCTATCGTAACACGAATTTTATTCCGTCGAAGTGGGTGGGGTGTGTGTCGGATGAGGGATCGTATGTATGCATGGCGTGTTTAGTTTGTCTTTCTGATGTAGTCATCCATGATAGTCTCAATAAAGCCTGGTTCTAGATTTATTGACGATTTTCTGTTTTGGTTGTGTACGCTATTGCTACTACTTACACGACTAATGCTATCCGACGCATCGGTATTATGAGTGTTTTCGGTGGTGCTAATGGATTTATGGCCATTTTCTTTCATTGATTTGGTGGTGGCGGCAGCAGCAGTGACGTCCATTATTGTTGTCGGTGTCGTCGTCGTCGTCGATGTTGTCGGTGTCGATGGCAGCAACGATGATGGTGGCGGTGATGATGGTGAACTCGCTACAGTCACAGGACCTTCGTTATTGGCTACATGTGGTTGATTAGTTTCAGTTAGTGTGCGGCTACAGCACGGTAGTTCGGTTGCAGCATCGACTACTGCAGATATTGTCAATTGAGCATTGCCTGTGTGCATGAAATGGAATCGAATTGATTTTGTCACATTGAATTTCCGCTTTATCGCAATCAAATCAAATACAGATATAACAAAAATGCATAATAACGATACGCACACAACGAGTGCGAGAAAAGAATAGAATGGAAAAAAAACGCCACAGAAAAAAAGAGAGCAAACGTATACAAAAATGAGATGCGGTCATACCTTGTGGTTCGATTTGAATTTGTTGCGGTTGCTGCTCTTGATCTGTTTGAACCGATATGTCGACGGCATCATCACTTGCCATCGTATTATTTACAACTCGGTGACTGAGTCGTGAACTTGATCCGGATTTTGTAATGGCTGATGATGTCATTGAGTGACAAAAGGTTTGGCTGCGAGTTCCCGAGAATCGCATATTATTCGGTTGGCGGTTTGAGTCCGTAGCTGCTAACTGAAACAAATTTTCACAAAACAAACATTTTCCGAACTATAAACAATGCTCTGCGTAATTTTATTTTAATTACAAAGTTAATGGAAATTTAGAAAGAATAAAAAAAAAACAACAAAAACATTAAACAGATAAACAAACATCGATTTGGTTTACGTTCGGGGCTTATATCAACATTGTTTACACAGATAATAGGTAAGCGTATGCATGTGTGTGAAAAAGAGAGAGAGAGAGAGAGTCTACGTTAATAAACGATAGATTCGAAATCAGAACTTGTGGTGACAGTTGTATATCGGCCGGATAGAGAGGCCACGGTTGAGATATCGAATTTCGTACATATATCTTTTCTATAGCAGCAGAAACCACAAGTTTCTCAAATGCCTTTAACTGGATTCGATTTCAGTTTACAAAATCGATGCCAACACACGCACACACATTTTCAATGTCGTACGAAAGCTACATCATGTTCAACGGTATCATTCATGATTAAGCTGTTAGTATAATGATTTCAATTCATGATCGTAAGCTTTTGAAACCATAGTAAATCAGTTTCAATCGGTATGGAAACGGAGGAAAATCTCAAGCGCAAACCTCAACTCTTGATTTCTGACATTAATACTGACTTGTCGCTATGGCTCTTCATTTTCATGTTTCACAAATCCATTTAAATTTCTCGGAAAATTTTATCGCAAAGATATTGTCGGTTGCATTCGGATTGGGTTTGTATGTGTGTCTGTGTGTATGTGCTGTGTGTATTTTATCCTCTCAGTGTAACTCATCCGTACGATTAGAGGCTGGTCTTTACAAAGATGTACAATCGAAATTTTGATCATTAAATTTTCACACACGCACACACAAAGGGTGTTAAGATATGGTCAATTTTTTTTGTGGACACATTGGAATGGAACTATTTAATATTGCACATTTTTACGAGAGAACAAGAGCGAGAGAGGGTGAATGAGAGGGAGAGGGACATCACAAAAACCCAAAGTCAACCGCCATGTGTGTTAGAATTTTCATTCTCACGTATCTTCTGATGTGTCTACTGGGATACTGTTCAGTGAATTCGATTAATTTAATGGTGTTTTTTGTTTCTAATCATTTCCATTGAATAATATCCAATGAATATGTCAATGTGGGCGTCACATCTGGACCCGATCGAAAATACACACATACATTATAGCTTTTAATTTCCAAATAAGAAGAAGAAGATGAAGAAGGCGAAGATGAACAGTTTTCATTTTCCAAATAAATAGAAAATGTGTGTCGGCTCCTCCATATTTCTCAACAGATAATTTCTTTTTCTCGTCAAATTCATAGGGAATATGGCCTGATTTAATTTTTCCTTGTCATCACACATTGACAAAAACATGAAAATCGTATTATTATTTTCTTTCATTTCTTCGTTACATTTCTTCGTCATTTGGGTCGTCAGTGTATGGCTTCAATTCAATCATTATTATGAAGAAATAGACACGGCTGGGTTTGAATGTGTGCGAAAGGGAAATTTGTTAACATCAGGTCCATTGTACGTATCGAAGCCAACGTAGTTAAAATGGCTTTATGTTGTTGTTTACCTGTGTGAAAATGTTAAAATGCAGATTTTCTCGTTGGATTTCTACGGATTCACGATGTCTGTCTGTCTCTATCTTCCTATCTCTCTCTCTCTCTCTCTCTCTCGCTCTCTACGTGTGTGTGTTTCGCTCTGCATGAGAATATGACGGAGATTTTATAACGAATCGTATGGTTTTTGCGAGAAACCCGTAATGCGATTGCCTGGCATTTGGCAAAATATGTACAATTTTGCCTTCGTTACATCTTGAATAAAACATGAACAACACAATTGGCTACCGTAATTCTTCGAATGATAGACAAAAAAGAGAGAGAATATGTTCGCATCTATTTGAAATTCTGCGGCATTCGGTGAACGTGTATTTTAGTTAGTCTTTTGATTTTTTTTTCTGTTTGTTCAGTCACTTTTTTAGTTTAGTAAATTTTGTTAATATTCCCCTAGATAATAACTGAGTTTACTCGTACCCGATTCACACTTAGGCCAGTGGCGTTGCGTACATTTTTGTACGGTTGAAATAGCACCAGATAGACTTTTGGCAGGAACAGACATGTCAATGAGACTGTTGCCGAAATCATTAAGCACATGCACATGCTGGACACTTGGATCTGAAATGAGATAGAAAAAGAGTTTGTTTGTTGTTAGTTTTGGCTTTTGTTGTTGTTGTGGTTTTCGTCGTTTGTTTTTCTTTCGTTCATTCTCTCCATCACTCTGCCATTGTTTCCACATCAATTTATTTAGATCAAAAAAAAAATGGTGAGACAAATACAAATTTAATGCCATGTAAATGGTAATAATCTCTTTAAATTGAATTTTCTATTAGTTGCAGCGTGCAACCCGAATATATATTTAAAGCCCGAATTTATGAATACGATAATTGAAGTTGCTCACTAAGAGTCTAAGAGTCATCGTGAGCGATGAGATGCAAAGTGAACCAGTAGCAAATGGCAGCTAAAGCTACAGCGAAATAACAACACGCAAAGCGCATTCAACAACACAGCAATGAAAATAGAAAGAGAGAAAGGGAGAGAAAAAAACGCGGAAGAATGCGATGCAAAAACGAAAATAGTGGTAGAAGATCGGTGAAGAGGATGATGAATTGAGGAGCTTTCAGCAAAGTTTTTGCATTAATGCGAAATACAATGAATAATTTTCAATTATCTCTGTTTTCTCCCGTCGTTTTCGTCCATCTCACCCAATCGCCCATTCAATGACAAGACAGGAAGACTATGGCCAATTGCGAGTTTAATTTAACTTGAATTCCCAGCAAAAAAAAAAGATGAAGAAAAAGAAGAAGTAGTATGAGGCAGAGAAGCGCATATATAACGAGAAAACAGTTTTGATCCCTTTTTAAAAGCAATATCTGTGTGTTTTGTTTGAAATTGAGGTATTTGTGAATTAAATGCTGGGCAATTTTTGTGCGGCTCGAATACGTACGCGCTTCGATAATTGCATTCCACTTCATTCTTTAACCCACCCATTTCCAACAAACGAACGAATCACTTTTAATCAGTTGATCAAAACTCGAGCAACAAATGTCTTCGAAGCACTTGATGCGGTGCGAAAAGTTTTAATTGAAAGGTATGCATTATCATGCGAATGAGAAGGAAAAAAACAAGACGAAATGAACGATGTTCTCAGAACATATCAGCCATACAATGGCCTCTCACTTCATTTTTACTTGGTGGTGAAGAAGGAAAAAAAAACATTCAGGGATTATCCCATGTTTGATGGTTTTTTCCTCTTCTTCTTCTTCTTCTTCTTCTTCTTCTTCTTCTTCTTCTTCTTCTTCTTCTTCTTCTTCTTGGGAACAATTTCATATATTCGCGAATGGGAGCGATTTTTATTCATGAGATGGCGAGAAAAAAAATTTCGTAAATGAGGTGCAAACCATTCACCATTTCATAGAATAAATAAGAAAGAAAAAAGTACATTTCTCTCTTCGATTCGAGTGAAATCCATTCATTCGTTTCATGACACGATTGGAAATCCCACGTGAATGTGTTTGCTCTTTTGACAATTGCTTTTTTATCGCATATCTTCCTCTAACTGGATATGGGTATCTTCGACGCGAGCAGTGCTGCCGCTGCTCGGGAAGAAAGAGAAGAAAAAAAACTAAGCGAGAAAAAAAAGCATAGATACGTTACCTTGTAATCATTATTGGTTCCAAAGTAGATTGGTAAAAATGCCAACCACACGATGCATGTCGAATACATGGTGAAACCAATGTATTTGGCCTCGTTGAAGTTTTCCGGAATTTTTCGTGTTTTGAATGCATACAGTGTGCACAAGAGTATCAGAACCATATTGTAGACAAGCGACATGATCAATGAAAATGTTGACACCTTGCACGTCAGTACAGCGGTTAATGGTTGCGGATGAATTTCCTTGATGTCAGGGACTTCGTATACTAACCATCCAGCGGTGCCCTGGTGAGAACGAGAAGAAAAATTGGTTCGAGAGGGAAAAAAAACCAGATTTTTTTAAGAATTGCGAACGCAGGTTGAACGACTGTGCATAAAAGTATTGTAAGTATATACATACCACTAATTGAACCGATACAATGCCTGTCAATCCAGAAGTAAGCAAATAACGAAAGAATCAAATCAGAGAAAAAGAAACGCGGAAAAGATTTCGTTACACATTTTCATTGCCATTTGGGGTAAGAAAGAAAATAAAGAAGAAGCAAAATGAAAAACGAAAAGAAAAGAACAACACCAGGCCATATATGATGAAATTGCATTCGACATTTTCTCACGTACACAGGCAAATTGCTATTTGTGATATTGGTGATGTGTAAATAGGTCTAGACACTGCTTTGACACCGCAATTGAATATCCTAGAGATTCGATTGGTTTTCACGAAAATCGCACTGTAGCACAGCGACAGACACAGACCGAGGCCAACTCGCAGCAATGCGCATCGTATCACAGTTGGCCTTGCCAATATTATAAATGTCATTACGTAACACAGGCAAACACCGGTCAAAAGCACATAGCACAATTCACGTCCAGACGCCATTATAACAGGTGTGTGATTGAATCTATTGAACGAAAACATAGAAAGAAGACGAAACACACGAATAAAACAAATGGTGAAAAGATGTTTGTGATGGGTGGCTGACGGTAGAACCGAGAGCCAAACAGGCATTGGAAGCAATCAAAATTAAATATATATATTACTTTATGAAAACGCAAATAGTGAATGTTGTAGCCAATATGCCGGCACTGGCAAATATCAACGGCACCTATAACAAATAAAAGAACAAACATAACCGTTACTTTATTACCCATTTATGGTTTTTAATGATATTCTATCCTCTGCATTGGACATGAAAAGATGTTTTGTCCATGCCATTTGGATGTGAACGATTTCCCCACACCCACGCCTTCTCCTGCTCCTCTTCTCCCACTGATTTGATCAAAAGCCAAGTGGTCATTTCATTTCAAGGGAAAATGTCATTCAACATATGAAACTTAGGCCCAGATTTATTGCGCCCACACGAATGACAACTGAATTTGAATGAATCAAATTCGGTTTGCTTGCGTGTGTGTGTATGCGAGAGAGAAATTGATTGTGTCATATGTTGTGTGACCTTTTCTCGATACACCTTTTTCTCCGTGCGCTTTTTATTCTATTTAAAGTTGAAAATTGGTTACACTTACATATGCCCACGGACTCAGCCAATCAATTACTTCGGCTCTCAATTTATCACAGCCATTTTTTCGTTCGTTTGGCGCATATCCCGGTTCACATGATATGCACGTGTCATTTTTCACGAACTCAAACTCTTCACGACATTTAACACACGACCAACAACATTGATCTTGATGGTTGTGCACATGGCCGGCCGGACACGGTTCGGAGCAAATGGACTTTGGCTGATCATCATTCTCCCACCGCAACGTCTCGTTGCGCAAATCCAACCTAGAGAACACACAGCAGAGAGAAAACAATCCGATTTTGAAATAAACGTCAAATAACGAGCGAGAATGAAGAACGAAAGAATAATAAAAAATTGACAGTGAATATTGTGCGAACGGCCTTACGACTCTTTCCATGTTCCAATTTGAATGTAGTCATATTTTTTGCCAGCTCGTTGATACTGATATATATTGTAGTAACCATATGCATCGCCATGCTTATTGAATCGAATCTGTCAAAGAGATAGAAAAATGCGACAGAAAAAAGAGGAAGAGAAAGAGAGAAGAAAGACAACGAAAATGTTTATATAATCAATTCTTGCTTTCGATCAGCTGTCGAAAGAAAAAAAAAACGTGAATATTTTGCAGCTTAATGCCTTACTTGTGTGCCTTGCATGCCGATGAAGTTTACATCACGGATGGCTCGCAACAAATCTGGACCGGCGGGACCTACATCATGGAGTATAACCATTTATTTTAGATGTACATTTTTTTCCACGTTTTTTCCCCGTTATTAAGATAATATGTTCGTTTATAAGATTCTATTATTATGTTGGCAATCGTAGTTTATTATGTCAAAATCCATACCTGGTTGCAGTGCATCACATTGACTGAATTCAAGATCTTTACAATTCTCTTTCATAATTTTATGGAGCGCGTGTGCCATCGCGTACACTGCGTCAACTGTCACATAGAGTGGGAAAAAAGAGAAAAAACAAACACAACAATTCTCAGTTACAGTGACTGTATGTGACACACAACTTTCACACAAAGACAGAAAAAAAACACATAAAACACATTTCATCTCGAAAAATAATTTCTCGGCAGCTCTCAAGCCAACTCATTTTCCGGTCCGAAATGTGAGAGTAAAATATGAGAAATTGCATGCAAAAAATCTCGTGCACTTCCTCCAATCTGGTGCTCACTACACAGGAAAATCGCATTCTTATTATCGCGTATACGGAAAAGGGACACGAGAGAGAGAGAGAGAGAAGGAGAGGGAAGAAAAAATACAAATTTCATACACTAAATGTGTGTATACTAACAAATATCGACATAGTACAGACAGTTTTATGTTTGAGCACTCACAGAATCCACATCACTTAACGCCAACAACGAGCGAGAAAAAAAAATATGCCAAAAATTTTGCATTCCAATATTCGAGTGTTTAACATCAACTCTCTTTTTCTTTTTGCCCGTCACACACACGTTCATGCTTTCGCACATTTTTCGACCGCTTAATTTGGTGCACATTGACGAATTGAAAAATATTTTTCAACTTTTCACTTTACGCACACTTAATGCATGCTGAAGTGAGTGAGAGAGAGAGAGAGAGAGAGAGAGAGAGAGAGAGAGAGAGAGAGATGACGAGAGGAGGGAAAAAAAGCTCTGAGTGACAAGAGCTTTTGCGCCAATTTATAAGGGAATTATTCAACTCGTTGAAGAGTAACTCGAGTGGAACGATCAAATGTCTATTAAAATGGTGATAGTTATAATCGAAATTATTTGTAAGTACCATCGAACCACTAAGAGTCATGTATCGCTTAAGCTATATAATACATATTTGAATAGTTTTTTTTTATTGCTCTTCATTCCATAGCTGTGTGGCTCTCTCTCTCTCTTCGTGTGTGTGTATATATGCTACCGAACCTATAATTACTAAAGTGAAATGGCGGTGAGACTCAAAGTCACACACTCAACTGAAGCAATACAATACGGATATAATGGATCGAAGGAGAGAACAAGAGAAAGGGAAGAAGAGATGGAGAATGGGCTTTGATGCAGCCCAAACGATACAACGATAGGATCTTAATTGTCGAAAACCGATTAAAGGTAGATATGGTTGCTGTAACCAATTACCCCAATAACAGCATACGTTTCGTATATGGTGACACCTTACAATAGCAAAAACATTGTCTTTGGCATCTAATGACAATGACAATGACAACGACGGCAAAACGTTCGTTTCTAAAATACCGTAAAATACGGAAGGTAAACGGTAAAATGGTACGAAGGCATTTCTATTCATTTTCAATAAATGTGAAACAACAATGAAACACCATTGTTCACAGAATGTTTATGTTTGTAGATACCATAGTGAAGAGCATCTCTCCATTCTCGTTTTTTTCCCTTGCTTCACTGTTGCGCTATCTATTTTATCGAAAAGAAATGCTTCAGGTATTTTCGATGACCAATTCCATTGTAATGTTATCATCGCTGAAACCTAATCTCACGGATCCCAAAGTACACAATGAAAAATTCACTTACCGACAAAAGGCACCAATCCTTCCTGCTCATAATTTGTGAGCGTTTCATTGCCCGTGCATCGTGGCAACCGTTCGTCCGGCACAAAACTACACTTATGATGTTGGCCCCAGAATTCGTTGAACCAGATATTCCGGCAATTGATCTGTAATTTTGGATCACGCGGATGCCGTTTATTGACAAACATTTGGGTACAGTCTTCAGGACTTAGGCGTGGCCTCAATGATTTATAGTATTCATCAAATCCTGTGTGTTGTTTTTGTTGTTGTTGTTGTTCAAGTAACGTGAATTGAAATGAAAAAATAAAAGCAAATAAGATTTGATTACACAAATTAATTAAAATGCCAAACAAAAAAGGGAACATTTAGGCGAGTCACGATATTTCTACCGCTGTTGCTGTTGCTACTGCTGGCTGACATTGAGTTCTCTCCGTTGAAAACTCTAATTCGCGAATAAACAGCACGACATAATATTGGGCGTGAGACGAGTGTTGTACAATGTCGGAAATACACGCAAACAAAATAGTCGTCTTCTTTCGCTCATTTTGCCTTTCTTCGCTTTTCCCAAGCGAGAGAGATGTGAAAACATAAAAGGAAATTGTGTATATAGCTCTCTAGGCAATTTTAATTGAGCTAAAATGCATGTAGAAAATCAACATGTTGACGGCGCTCAGCTTTAAGTAACATCACACAAAAATCTCAGATCTTTCTCACAATCACACACACACACACACACACACACACACACACACACAACATAGAAATAAGACCGAGTCACATATGGCCGTTGATGATGTTGGCGCTTACTGCTGCTTTCTGTTGCCAACATTCGATGCCGGCTGACTGGAGAAGAGGAGGCGGAGAGATACGGTGAAAACTTTCAATTCTTGGATAAAAGCATTCAATTTTTTTTTCTCTTCCTCTTCTTTTCCTCCTCTAGCTTCAACATACACATTACAATTTTAACACGTGCCGTTAAGGCTACTTAAATACTGAGAAAGATTTTCTTTTAATTACTTTTAATTGCGGAAAATATTCCTTTGAGCGCTCACCGGCGAAAAATGATGATGACATTTGTGGAAATTGTATATAAAATACGTTTTACCAATTTGTTAAATATTAACACGGAGAGAGAAAAATGGGTGAGTTGAAGAAGAGGGTGAAACGGAGAGGTGGCGAGGGAGGCAGAGAAAGAGTGTGAGAATTTTCGAAAAAGAGCAACATTGAATTGAGTGCAGTATTGCATTCGAGCTTATATATATATTGGTAAAAGTCATATAATCGAAATCGACTCACGAATTGAACGCTCAAATAATTTAAAACGATTAAAGGCTGTAAATTCGAAATCCGTTTGTACGTAGCGCACTCTCTTTCACTCTATTTCCCTGTCTTTGCCTTCTCTCTTGCTCGCTTGTTCGCTCTCACCGTACGTGCGCCACGTTCATTGCCGCTGGGGCTTAAGCAATTTATAAAATTAGAAAATTCTTTTATTGCATCAGTGGTGGCAGAGTGCTGCATGCTGCTGCCTTCCCCACCCAACGACGTCATCGTTGCCTCCTTCAGCCCAAACTATATACCAAAACCACAACATAAAGCGCAAATGGTGCGCACCACACCAAACTATACCTTTAATCGCGGTCGAATTATTTCATTGAATTTTGCAATATAGTTGGCATATAATAAAGAGTCAATTATTTTGTATAAGACCGTAATTTTTCCACGCAACAAAAAAAAATAGAGTCTCTCGTTTGAAATGCAGGTGATACACGTAGGTAGAGGAGCACGCTATATCAAGCATGGAGCACCAACCATCACTCGGAAATAGTTGCAATTTGTCACGAGCTTAACAAACGAAACAAACAGCAATAAGAGCAACAGCAGCAGCAGCAGCAGCAACAACGATAGCAACGGCAACAGCAGCAGCAGCGACGGTAACAAGTGGAGTGAAGCGAGCGAGCGCGTGGCGGTAGCGGCGGTGTTGGTGATGCGAGCGAAAAAAGCGAATCAAATGAATAAAATCTCATGAAATTACAAATAATCAGGTTAAATGTTTCAAGGCTTTGTTTTGTGATGCGCAGCATTAACATTTATACCAAATGCGAATGCGAGTAATGATGCGTTGATCAGGTTTTATTTACTTGAAATTTTCATTCGATTACGGGAAATTATGCGGAAAATGGTATTCCATCGAGAATAAAATATTACCACCCAATAATAATGTAGTCAAAGTAAATATGATACGCATTTGTTTTTTGTTCACATTGTGTGTATGTATGTGTGTGTGTTCTAGTAGAAGAGCCGAGAATAAATACGATTGATTGGTAGTGGTGGTGGTGGTAGTAAGCAAACGAAAGAACGACTCAGAATCATAACACATATGTATTTTTGCACATTTATCCCACTATGACACGATAACAATGAATATATATGAGAGAGAGAGAGAGAGAGAGAGAGAGAGAGAGAGAGAGAGAGAGAGAAAACAACAACAACAACTTACCGTCAAGATTGGTTCTTTGTGGGAGAACTGTAATCGTATTCACTGCAGCAAATTCCTGATCACGTACCGGGTGCGATTTTGCACCCCAAGAGTCACTGCCAACGAAAATAAAATGGCCGGTTTTGTTTGCACGAATGCTGGCTTGTAGAATTTTTCTATAGCGCGAATTGATAATCGCACGCGGGCCCCATCCAAACATAGTGGCAGTAGTAATAGTAGTAGTAATAGTAGTAGCAGAACAACATTAATCCATGACGAACGTGTTATTTCCAGCGACAGAGATGGATGTAAAATTGATCACAACGGATGGATGGAAAGAAGTTTGCATTTTGAGAACGAAGAAGAATGAGAGAAGAAAAAAAAGCGAAGAAAGTGAGAACCAGATGATGTTTTGTCGAGAGAAAGAAAATGGCAAATTTATTGAGCAGAACCACGTTTAAGCAAATGAGAATTGCATTTGGGTGTTGTGTGTGTTCCCAAGAACAGTGTGAAAGATGAGTGTGGATTTGTCCCAGAAGTGAAGTTTCAAATAAACTTGAAATTATTTCGCATTACAGCAAAATAAATGATTGGGTGTAAACGTAATGAACGATCAAGTGACGATTTTTTATGTTCGTTCGTTTCCCTTCGAATCATCACGGTGAAACGTTTTCTCCGTGTGTTTTTTCGTCTTCTTTTTTCTTTTCTTTTTATCATCTTCAACTTTGTTCGATTGCTGATGTGAGTGTGAGCGTGCACATGAGGCGTACATTGATAACAAGTCTCAATGACACGTTCGCAATACTCATTGCGATAACGAAGCCCAATGACACACGCAACAACAAAAAAAACAACAACAAAAATCGAAAAAGCACATTGAAGAGGAACCAAACAGATAAATATAGAAGTTATTCTTGAGCTATTCAATAGCTCACACCATCGATTGTGGAAAACAGCAGCAACAGAATAAGAAGCGTTGCTAGTTCGTGCACATTGTTTGCAATTCATTTTATTTATCGGCAAAATGTACTTGCTATGAAATCGATCACGCTGCCTAGCTGTCTAGCTGCGGCTCTGAGCGACAGAGAGAAACTCGCGAAATGTCTGTATGTATTTTACTTGATTTTCGAAATTCGACAGATATATGAATCGAATTTTTCACCCAAAAGCTTAATAAAAAAAAAGAAAGAAAGAAGAGCGATGGAATCCTAAGTCCCTTAGCTGAATAAATGTATGAATTGTTTTTGTCTCTTGGCGTAGCATGGCGTGGATCTACAACTGAAAAACAGCTTCCAATTACCTGACATCGACCAGATTTCACTCATGCTGCTTTCCGATTTGCGTGTGTGTGTGTGTGTGTGTGTATGGGTGACATAAATATCGCCAAATCATCGATTGCGTAACATTCGCATTGAATTCGACAAATATTTCAAGCAAGCGATACCCGTCTCGCACGTTCGCTCGCTCGCTTGCTCGCGCACGCACGCACGCACGCACACGCATTTCACCATTTCCCATCAAAAATTGAACATAAATAAGCATTTATGATATATTTTACAGGGCGATACATTGTCTCTTCCGCCTGGAAATGGTATGTTCTCCGGCACGTTTTCTCTTCCTCCTGTTCGACATGTAAAGAAGTCGTGACGAAATAAACTCAACCCGCATCCACTATTTTATTTTTCTCGGCATGTGTGTGTGTGTGTTATCAACATGAAAAACACTCACCAATCCGCTTTTGGTCTTTGTTTTTGTTTCTCTGTTCTTCACCACAAGCGATAATATGTATGTGACTCAGTCACGCACATGCCGAACAACAAACTGTAACTTGTTGTGTTTATTTTAAAAGAGCAAAAATAGATGCAAGCTTCATGGGCTTGAATATATAAATCAACAGACAATTCATTGTGTATTTCAACTTTTCATGCTGTTACTTCTTCATTTCGATTCTCTTGATCACTCGTGCGCGCCGCTTTTACTTGAACAACAACAACAACCACACAGCAGAAAAACAAATACCAAAGAGAAAAAAAAAACTCTGTTTGACTCTTGCGCTTTGCCAGGCAATTGCATTTAAATTAAAGCGATCGATTTTCGTTCGAGAGTTTATACGGAATTGTGGTGCAATTTCTCTACTCTTTACATTTACTGTTGCTTCGTGTTTCGTTGCTGTTGTTTTGTTCTTCGGCTACACGCTTTATTTTTTTTTTCTTTCACTGTCTTTCTTTTCCGATGAATTCATCGCTTCACAATGCGAATCCAATTTGAATACAATTGCTTGTGGTGGGTTATATATGTGCGTTTTTCTTTCATCGTCATCGTTATTGTCTGTATTTGAAAGGAATGAAAAATATACACATTTTCTTACCGTATGTTGTCTTCATCGACAAACATCACGACCACACGTGCCTGCGGCTTACTGTAAAGTCGTTCGATGATTCGATCAAAATCCTCCGGTTTAGAATGGCGACTTACTTTCTCCGATACAGCCACACAAATACCTAAAGCATTTGCCGTCTGAATGAACGATGCAATACCCTAAAGATTGGAAAGAACGAAAAAGAGAAAAGAAAGAGAATTTAAAGTTTGATTCATTTTCAAGTTATTCGAATGCGATAAAATTCTTTCTCTGCAATGAACATCAACCCATAGTGCTCTATAAATAGACAGCACAATTTTCTGTCGAAATTATCAAAATAAGTCAGTGTTTTTCTTTCGTTCGGAATAAATTCCAGTCAATTCCGACAATTAGTTTGGTGTTCATACACTTTTCTATGACCGCCAATTGTTCGCGAAGACCCACTCAAAGCTCATTGGATTTGGCGAGAACACACGACGACGAAAAGAAAAAAAAAACAACACCGAACAAAATATCGAGAAATAGAAAGACGAAAGAATGTGGGAAGATACAAACATTAAACCCATTCTTTGAAATGTAAAGTTTATTCTTTGTGGTGCCCTAAAACCAAGGGTAAACACATCCCATACAAAAACATATACGCTTTTGAACACACAGAAAGAGAAGAATGGAAGAGTGAGAGAGAGAGAGAGAGAGACGATCAGAAAACCAGAAAAGCAAAGAATCATGGCTTATGCATCAGACGATGGATGTGGGAATGCAGAAGAAAAAACAACATAACGAAACCAATCAAAGTATAAAAGAGGAATTTCTAAAGCTAAGATGAGAGCCTTTTAAATGATGCATCACAAGCGATGGCTATATGCGAAATGGCGTCATCCACTAGCCTGTTACTGCTGCTGCTGCATACACACACACACACAAAGCTCAACTTGAGCTTTCAATGGCTGATCATCACATCACCGAAAAAAAAACACACACAACGCTCTTTGCTGTTTCTTTCAAATAAATGATCATATTCCAAAAAGTCGTGAACTCCTTTTGGAGTAAAGGAACTCATCATCCTTCAGGCTACTACAGTTACTATTCAAATCTCTTTTCAATATCCAATTTTAACTTTGAATAAGCAACACATTGTCCAATTATTTATCGAGTTATAATAAATGTTCGATGCAGCTCAGAAATTGACTACGTTATGTTATTTTAGGATCACACATCATTTCATCTAATTGATAATTATTAACATAGAAATAATAGAGTATAATGCACAGAGAGAGAAAAAGAGGTTTGCCCGCATTTATCCCAAATCAAATTTAATTGAAAATCCTTCCAATTAAATTTTCGTTTTGCCAAACAGCAAATCGGCAACATGCACATTATTTTCCACTGTGTGTGTGTGTGTGTGTGTGTGTACGTACGATGTGTGTTTGTGTCAAAAACAGCGGAAATTTTATATATGGTTTTGCCTGTTTCTGTGCCAATCTGCACACGCTGCCGAAAGGAAACTGAAAATGCGTGAACACATTTCACAAATGGCTTCGTCGCCGCCGCCGCCGTCGACAATGCTGCTGCTGCTGCTGTTGCCACCGGTTTTGTCGTAATTTATGTGCCAAAAATAATATTTCGAGATAATTTTAGTGTTTGTGTGTCAGCCAGCCAACAAAAAAAAAGTCCGCACCTGCCCCACAAATATTTGCAATCAATTCAAACACGCTTTTTTCACCAGAATATTTCCGCTGAAATTTTGTCATAAATATAAAGTTTTTATCGGGAGCAAACAACAACAATTGTTAGTACACATACATACACTCAAAATTCGAGCAATTTTTTATTTCAAAATATTTTTTTTTTCTTTCATTTCAATTAAAAAAACTAAAGCTGTAGTTAAACATGTTTCGAAACCAACCCCCTTCACACAAATCACAAGTGGACTACTTTCAAATGAGTTAGAGCACTTTGGTTCGTTTTGGTTGGACTGACAGAGAGAGAGAGAGAAAAAGCGCGAGGCAACAGAGAGGGAAAAGAGAGAAATAAAATGAAATGAAATGGTGGAAATCGGATTAAGCTGTGTAGAAAAATACGATGCGGTGAGATGAGAAAGAGGGAGCGACAGCAACAAAAAAACGTTGTGAATGTAAGCAATTTTAAAATAACCAAACATTCATTGGAAATAAATCGATTTTGGACCAAATTCAGGTAAGCAGACTTGAAACATATGGCCATAAGGAGTTACGTACGGTCGGAGTGTTACCGCAGTGCTTTTGATTTTATTGGATGGTAGCGCATCGAATGCTTGAGTCGACATCAAACACCAGTCACAAAACTGTACACTCAACGTTTCAGGAAGGTGTATGTGACAATATTCACACTAAACGATTTGACTCTTGTTCTCTTTAACTATTTTTTTTCTATACGGTTTATGTTTTTTTTTTATTTTCTCTCGCTCTCTGTCTCTATTTTTATATCTCAATCTTTTATTTTCTCCTCTTATTTTCTACAGACAGAGAAAGAGAGAAGAAGATAGAGTTCCCTTTGCCTCGCCAACGATTCCCATGCATTCTTTAAACCAAGAAAATTATTCAAGTGAGTCTATTTTAGATTGCAATCGATTTGATTAGTTCACTCGAAATGTCGAGCTCGTGAAATTGATGACCCGTTCTCTAAATTTATTGCTCTGATTCACATTTCATACGCATTTTGGAGTAAAAGTTGTGTGTTCCATTCGCACAATAACAGCAACAGCACACACAGTGAGTATATCAAAGTTTTTGATCAGGCGAGACTGTTTCAAAAGCCTCTGACTGTATCATTCGATGATTTTTTTAGAGAACAAGACTTAGCTAAAATCCGGCATTCCGAAAAGAATAAAGTTAAAGGAGCATGTTTCGTTACATTTAAGTCATGTGAAGAAAAAAAAAAAAACGAAAACCAAATGTGTATCAAAACAAACAGAAAATGACGAAAACAATGATTTATTTATGCCCCAAAGCATGATTCAAATACAAATCTATCGTTTATAAGTTTTACATAGTCAATCTGAGGACAAAAGCAAAGAAAAATAAAGGAAACGAGGTCATAAAGCGTGTGTGTGTGTTTGTGTGTCCTTTGTATTTCGTCAGTGGAATATCGTTCGTAACGAAATCAAGTCGTGAATTTGAATTAGGAATAATGGCTTGAGCTGTTCATTCACAGAAACTGCATAATTCACATCAACGATAGAGCGCATTTATCATTGAAAAACATTTCATTTGATGAAATGGGTGCTGTATGCAAATTTGTCAAAAGCCCACAGGCGCAAACATTAAAATTTTGGCGCTGAAAACAGGTTTCGCGACGCGATGCTTTGTATGTGTGCGTGTGCGTGTGCGTGTGCGTGTGCATTCAGCGGTGGCTCAATTAGTATCGTACATACATATTTAAGAGTTTTGTAAAAGGATTTAATGAAATTAAACATCCCGCTCTCCGATGCACCGTTGTATCATGATATTGAACGATGCCACAACTATTAATTGCTATCATCAAATTATGGAATGATTGGAAATGAATGAAATACTTGATAAAATCGTTCAAATTGTATAAACCAATCAGTGCCTCGTATCTGTTTCCCTCTCTCGCTCTCGCGTCCATGCCCATACCACTCATCCTGCTTGCCGCACATATGCGTACAATCTAAATTTAATATTTTGTAATGTATCGAAAACCAAAACCAGCTTTTCTACAATTAGTATTCAAAGAGAAATCGTCTAAAACGCCGAATGTAATTGGTTTACAGCCACTTGCTAGGCAAACGCATACACTTTATCCCCCTTTCTCTCTCTCTCTCTCTCTCACTCTTTCCCACTGTAACACACATATAAATTTTCCGGACCAATTCCCCGGGCTACCTCCATTTTTCTCAAGCGGTTACTTCAGCTTGAAGCCATTCTTAGCGGAAATGTTTTGGATGCACTATTACATTTCCCATCATGATTTTCATTTGATGTTCGCACTCGTGTTTATGAGCTTTTTTGAACCATTCACATAACAAGTGGATCTTCAAAGTGAACATTCAATTTGTGAATTGTTCTTTTTGGGAAGTTGCAATTTTCCACCCACTTGATGGATCCATATAATGCATAGATTTTGCATATTCGAGTTTTTGATGCAGCATATTGGAATTTTTTCAGTAGTTTTTCTTGGAAAAAAAAAACTAATTGCTATTACAAGCTCTCTCTCTTCGTACTACGAGTATAGTTACTTCGTAGAATTGGTTATTTGTAGTGGTGAAGCTATGTATGAAATGATTCATTTCTTTTTAATTATATCAATTTCGCCTACGTTGTCGATAATTCTTTTTTTTTCTGGAAAAAATTCTCATAAATAAATATGCTCATGTTTAAGCGCAATGTTTTAAAGTGACTTACACTTTTCTCGAAAAACAGTCTTTTTGGTCTTGAAACTGTAAATCAAAACGACGCATGGTAGCTAATATACATTTTGTTTTTCAACATCGTTTACGTCAATGCCAGAGATATAATTAAGAAATTATTTGAGCAAACTATGTTCCATCATCTCTATACATAGTTTTCTTATTACAAATATCCAATTCTACGAAGTATGCTTGCTTCATACTTATTCCAGGATGTTTGACGTACATCTACCAAAAAAAAATTGTGAATATTTGTGTGTAAAGAGAGCAAGAGCACTAGAACGGCATAGTACAATAACTTTTTGTGTTCCGGAAGAATGAAATGAAATATGTGAAGCATCGATGCGAAAACAACGAGTACCTTCAAATTTATGAGAATTAAAAAGGAAATTTTCCTTAGGAAAATATGTGCATGAGGCAAAATTCGTTGCAAAAACAGAATAATATTATAATAATATTTTTCGATTCAAAAGTTAAAAAAATGCTCGCTCATAAATAAAAGCGTCGTGCAATCGTTTTCATTTTCTTCATCAACTTTTCCATTTTCTATTCATTTTCAACTTGAATTTTGATTCGTAGTTTTGTTCAAAATTTGGTTATCTCTTGGATTCATCAAAACAAATTGAAATAAACCGTTGCTGGTAATTTTAAGATTTTAAATAAATTTCATTTTTTTCGGTCAAACTAATATAAATTACTGCTTAGCTTCGCATAGTTTTGTGTCCAAATCTGTTGGTCCACCTGCGTTGAAAAAAGTCAATTTAGTTTTAA